AGACTCTAGTCCGAATTCCGGTAAGTAACACAAAATAATGTCAGGAGCAGGTAATAATGTACCTTTGTACTATTTAGCATGTCATTTGACGGTAACAAGAGCAAATTCAATTTAAATCTATTAAATACATTCTAGCGTGTCTCAGTCCTTTACCCACAAAAGCGGCTATAACTTTTTTTTTTTTATTCAAAACAGTAAGTGTGGCACCTTTCTGAAATCTTTATTAAATGAGCAATTTTTTTATGTAATGTAAAGTTATAGCTCAGTACATTTTTTTTTCACCCGAGATAGTCAAAGTTGGGGAAGAAAATATCAAAAAGTTAAAAATCCAGAAATAGTCCTAATTTTATGATGGTTCCTTAATATATTTTAACTACATTGCATTTGAGTATGGAGAGGCAACTATCTGGAAGTATTTTACATAAAAAATTTACTAAGTATTGCCCGGTTTGTAGTTGCAGTTAAAGAAAACTCATAAAAAGGCACGATTTTTTTTAAATTCGAAAAAATATAAATATTTCTAAAACGGTGACACTTTTACCTGAAAATTTTTTGTTTATCAGGGAGCTCACCCACCTACCTTCCCCTAAAGTTTGGCACGTTACTTCTGGGACACCCTGTATATGAGCTGCTTTGCAACGTGTTAGCTCGAAAGGCGAAAATGTTAGTCGAAGCATAATGATTCAGCAAAAATTAAATTTTACCTGCTTCGCGTGCACCACAAATATAATTACAGGTAGTAACTTACTAACAAAAAAATAATGTAGGCCTTTTTTCACGCAAAGTAGTTAGTATTCTACTGTTTAAAAAAAAATCCCTAATTACACGTTTTTAAATTGTATGAATTTGTATCTATACATATGCTTCCTTCAAGAAATGCACTTCAGTCTAGTATACTAACAAATTAAGGGAATATAATTAGAGTCCGACCGATTAACCGGCATCGGCTAGTATCGGCACAAAATTGAGCATCGGCATCGGCGTTTTTTCGCCGATTCTTTGCCGATTATTTGGAATTTCGTTTCATATATTCAGGTGAAGCGACAGACAAGAGCCAACATCAAAAAACATTTGCAGACAGCTCACAAAAATTAATTTTTTTGTTGAAGGTGTTTCACGTTTTTTCCATACAAAGGTATGTTCGACAATTTTCTTTTATATAGAGGACACTGCCAGCAAAAAAAGTTGCTAAAAATTAACTAGATTTTATAGCAGCTTGAAACTTGCACTTTATTATACTCGAATTAAATGGCCTACAAAACTGCACACCAAAATTCTGATTAAAAAGTTTGAAATTTTGGTGAACATATGCTGAATTTTTCTAATTTTTGTACAAACTTTGAGATCTAAATTTATATGGCGTTTGTTGTATACCAGCTAGACTTTTATAAAAAAATAATAATAAACATTAAATAAACAAAAGACAAATGCCAAATGCCAAAACCGGTCAAAATATCGCAATTCTTTTATTTTGTAGGCCACAATAAGAATGTACATTAGGGTGGCCCCAAAATGCATGTGAAAAAGTAAAGTCGGAATTTTTATGCTCTCTCCCTAGGATTGTTCTATACCGAAAAAATATACCCTTATTTTTTTATTTTGAAATCAAAAAATATTTAGAGGTCGCTCAAAGCGCCTAAAGTTTTCCATGTATTTTATATGGGGAAAAACAACATTTCGTAGAAATGGTATACAATAGTTAAAAATCAATATTTTTGTACCAGAAAACTCTGCTTATCTGCAGGAGTAATAATACCCAATTGTTTATTTAACCATTTTTTCATTGCAACTATAATTCATAGGTCCGCCAGAAACCCACAAAAACCCCGAAAAAGGCAATGGGGCGACCGATAAATCGTTGGGGCGACAAATATAATCGTTAGTATTAAAAAATGGTTAAATACACAATTTGGTATTATTATTAAAAGTCTCCTGAAGAGAACCAGAGTTTTCCGACCGATAAATAATGACTTTCAAGAATTCTATACCATTTCTACGAAAAAATTTATTTTTCACATATAAAAATACATGGAAAACTTTGAGCGCTTTGAGCGACCTCTATATATTTTTTGATTTAAAAAAAAAAATAGGGGTATACTTTTTTTTATATATAACAATTCATGGGGTGAGAGCGTTACACTTCCGACTTTACTGTTTTTGGACCACCCTAATGTTCATACATACCTAGCATATAGGTTCTTATGCATTGAGTGCAAAATAATGTACATGTGTATGTATGTGTAAAAATATATGTACATATATCACATTTATGTAGATTATACTTTCTTATATGGTGTTAAGCGAGAAATATTTAGGAACGTAAAATTTCATTTCGTTTTGTACACATTTTGGGCCACCCTAATGTACATTCTTATTGTGGCCTACAAAATAAAAGAATTGCGATATTTTGACCGGTTTTGGAATTTGGCATTTGTCTTTTGTTTGTTTAATGTTTATTATTTTTTTTTTTATAAAAGTCTAGCTGGTATACAACAAACGCCATATAAATTTAGATTTCAAAGTTTGTACAAAAATTAGAAAAATTCAGCATATCTTCACCAAAATTTCAAACTTTTTAATTAGAATTTTGGTGTGCAGTTTTGTAGGCCATTTAATTCGAGTATAATAAAGTGCAAGTTTCAAGCTGCTATAAAATCTAGTTAATTTTTAGCAACTTTTTTTGCTGGCAGTGTCCTCCATATAAAAGAAAATTGTCGAACATACCTTTGTATGGAAAAAACGTGAAACACCTTCAACAAAAAAATTAATTTTTGTGAGCTGTCTGCAAATGTTTTTTGATGTTGGCTCTTGTCTGTCGCTTCACCTGAATATATGAAAAGAAATTCCAAATAATCGGCAAAGAATCGGCGAAAAAACGCCGATGCCGATGCTCAATTTTGTGCCGATACTAGCCGATGCCGGTTAATCGGTCGGACTCTAATTATATTCCCTTATTGTTAGTATACTAGACTGAAGTGCTTTTCTTGAAGGAAGCATATGTATAGATACAAATTCATACATTTTAAAAACGTGTAATTAGGGATTTTTTTTAAAACAGTGGAATACTAACTACTTTGCGTGAAAAAAGGCCTACATTATTTTTTTGTTAGTAAGTTACTACCTGTAATTATATTTGTGGTGCACGCGAAGCAGGCAAAATTTAATTTTTGCTGAATCATTATGCTTCGACTAACATTTTCGCCTTTCGAGATAACACGTTGCAAAGCAGCTCATATATATGAGGTGCACTCCAGAAAGGCAATCTAAGCAACCCCACAATTTTTTTCATACCAAGCTGTTCATTAGGGAAGCTTGTATAAATTATATGCACCAAAGATTCGGTTCGAAAGTAAAAGCCGTGTAAAAATCTGTTCGGCCTCTCCAGTATTGCCAGAAGTGAAGATTTATCTTCAAAATTAAGATATTTTTCATAAATAATGAGAAAATTCTTCACGTGAAGATAATTATAACAAAATAAAACTCCATAAAAAAATCTTCGCAGTGAAGATATCTTCCAGCGCTTGAAAATTTATTTTTTTTTGTGATGGTTGGCAACAAACTTTTCGTTTTTGTCATCAATTTACCTTGCACGACAGGTAGATATTAATATTGATTTTTATGAATATGATTGATTTTGTCTGTCAAAATTCGTGCTCAAACTCGGCTTTGTGTAGCTCACACTCAGTTGTATGAATTTCCACAAGATAAAAAGTATGGATCGCTATTTGTTATAACAAAAAAGTAAGTAATTTTTGTTTCTAAATTTAAATTAACAAATCAAATTTTCTATAATTAACTTTATAGAAACATCATCATCTAGCGAGGATGCATGCGCAGATGCGGAGAGTTTTTTCCCAAATAAACTTGAACAAAAAAAAAAATCGTAATAAGCTGGAAACCACCACCTTAAGTGGTATTCTGTACACAAATGATTATTTAAAAGGTTTTGTACAAGTAATTTTTAGCAAAAAAAAAACGACTTAAAAAAATATGAAATATATGAGTAGTCCACTTGCAAACAGCGTTACGTGATTTTATAATAGAAAGCCATAAATTTGAAAAAAAACGACTACGACAACAAGTATCATTTAAATTGAATCTTTTCCATTATTACCTGAAAAATTGGATAAATAAGAGCCTTTTAAAATTGTAACATAACATAACATGACATAAGATAACATGAACAGTCTAAACGACCTAAAGCAGTTTTCTAAGTTCATCAGAAGATGTATAGTTTTGAAAGTTTATAAATAAGTGTGATAGCGACTTTTGGAAGAAGAGTTAACATTTGATGCTATTTTTTTAGAGTATAAAAAAGATTTTGCACTGTGTTGTTAGTGGACAGGAAACTACTATAAATACTGGTACGTAATCCTCCAAAAACTAAAAATCGAAAAAATTTTACATAGCGCACTTTGCAAGTGGACTACTCATATATAGATATATATCTATATATATTTCATGATGCAATGATCGGATCTTAACCAGATTAGTATGAACCTCTGAGACACTACCTTTCCGATACAAAAAGAATTTTCGAAATCGGTTGACGTGGTCCAAAGTTATGCGGTACCATACATACAAAAAATATATATATGTATATTCCGACAAACTGATAACCTCCTCCTTTTTTGGAAGTCGGTTAATAACAAATACAATTTTAATAGAAAAAAATTATTATTTTTTGTTATAAAATCTTCAATGAAGATTTTTCTAGAGAAAATTTTTTTTTCTAGTTTCATTAACCTTTTTATGGTTTTTTGAAGATTTTATCATGACTGGGAACACTGGCAAATAGACAGACAAAAATCTTAACGCCTTGTTTAGGCCGCTTGGCGGCCACTGTGGTATATTCAAATTACATTTAAGTTAAAGCAAAAACACAAAAAGGCTTAGAATAAGCGTGTTCCCAATTTTTTGCTCCAAATATTTTAATTATATAACTCTAGTTCTTCAATAAAATGTTTAGAAAAGCAATTTACCAAATTTATTTATTTAAGGTTTGCTCAGCTGCCCGGTGCCTCTTTTATTAAAAGGAAACATCTTGCGAACCTTATGTGCTTTGGGCAAGTCTAAAGAAACAGCACTAGTCCTTTGGAACATGATCGAAGCGTCTCAGATCATCCCAACCTTGCCTGTAATTGATTCCCAAAGTGAGTATTTAATAAATTTTTAATTAAGCATTAATTATACTAGATTAACAGAATATGTTATAAATGAAATGTAAAAAAAGCAGAGAACGGCATGCTGCCTTTTTTGTTTTAGTATACTCACACTAAAAGCGGTGGTTGAATGTTAACCCTCGCAAGGCGTACAAACAACGCCACCGCAAATGACCGCTCATTTTAACACGCCTCACTCATATACTTCGGCAAAACGATGTCCCGAATAACCGTCTAAAATATGTTCTACCTTTTTTCTACATCTTTTAGGAAAATTTACCAAAAGTTACACAATTTTGTTTAATGTACTTATGTATGTACATTAGGGCGGACCAATTTTTTTTTTGACATCGTCCCTAGCAGATTCGGATTCTACATAAAATTCTAAGAACAAAAATCCTTTAGACCATAGCTCTAAAATTAATTTCGAGCCTGCGCAATTTTAGAAGAAGATGTCTTTAATTAATACTAAGTTAATATGCAGATTAATATTTACTAAAGTGTTACGATTTAGTTTTTTTTTGATAAAAACTTGTGCTTGGAAATTGTTTGATACAAAAAATTAATTTCTGATATTTATTTTACATTTAAAGAACCGCAAGGTGGCGCTACAAAGCAAATCTATACTAATATGTATATACAGTGACGAGCAAAACTGTAACATGGTTTAACACTTTTTATTTCAGGCACCTCTATATTTCCAAGTTCTAACGACTTTCATCCTTTTGTTGTACATATATTCTGGTTGGTACACCCCTACTCACTCCCTCATAACGATTTGAAGGCAATACAACAACAATAAAAAAACCAGCAGAGAAAAACGTAAATTAAGGCAAATGTTACAGTTTTGCACTCACTCACAGTTTTGCATTTTACAGTTATCTTTTACTTAGTTGGAAGCCAGATGACTTTTTTCTGTATTGTAATTTATTGAAGAAGTGATCACCAGTAAATAATATAGTTAATCAGGAACCATAAATGTAAATAATAGATTTACTGCGGAAAGGCGAGATGGCAGGAAAAGTGGAAAAAACTCTGGAGTTTGCCACTTGAATATGTTAAGACTGAGAAAAAATATAGCCTAAAGTGTTCCTAAGCACAAAGGAAGTCTGTCAAAAAATATTACGGTACGATATCTTGTGAACTTAGCAGCAAGTAGCGATGCAGCCACTATTACAGAAGCGCTTAAGGTATTAAACTTTAATGCAAATCAGTAGACAGCGAAGCGAAGAAGCAAGGAATGAAACCGAAACCCAAACCGAAACCGTAACCGTTTAAAACCGTTTCGTTTTTCAAAACCGAAACCGAAACCGTAACCGTTATCTTGACCTGAAAAGGAACGATACCGAAACCATTTCAATCACAGGTTTCAATCGGTTTCCAGAAATTTACAAAAATAATAAATAAAAATTTCTTTGAAATAAATGATTTATTTAACCAAAATCAGCAACATTTTGCTAAAATTCTTGTTAAGTAGTAAATAAGTATGGCAAGGTAACTTTTCGCAAAAATCTGCTGATGACTTTGTTGTTGTGAATCGATAATCGATTAATTATATTTAAGTAGTTTCTTTCCCGTACGCAATGCGAGATCCCGCGTGTGTCCAAAATAGCCCAGAAATCATTGCTGTACTCAACAAAATGGGTAATAGAGAGCGAAAATTCGAGCGTATTCGATCGTAAGTGTATTCTTCTTCCTGCCCGAAACAGCCCGAAATTTTCTCCGAGTAAAGATGGATAAAGTGTCAAAGTGCATATCAGCTGTATTGTGTTTACATGTTGCCTGCATTTACTTGGTGCTTTTAAGGAAAAGTGAATGGCCTGTTGATGTATTTTCAATCTATGTACTTAAAATCAAATTTGTGAAACCAAAATTCAATTTCCAAGTGTTTGCATTTAATACCATGTTCTGACCGACAACCAAAACATTTTTCCTTCATTTTCTTTTCATTTACAACCTTTAACTTTCATTCTTATTTTGCTTTGGCCAGGCAATTAACAATAAATCCGAAATGGCGTATTAAAGATGATAAAATATGACTTCCACTTCGATAAATAATCGAAAAAAACTAGTGAAGACACCGATTGGAATGAGTGGAAAGTGAGTTTTCAAGTAGTTTTCAGCGAAAACTGGTTTTCGTTTAACAGATTTTATATGGACGAAAACACAAGTTTTAGGTCGAAAACCAGTTTTAGCAACGAAAACATGTTTCCGATGTCGGTCAGAACATGGTATAAGTGACAAAAACAAGAACAACGTGAATCAGCTGTTTCTCGACTTGTGGGCACGAAATGTGGGTTTTTGCGTTTCCGTACTTCTGAACTTTGTTCCATTTTTGAAAGAAAATGTTTCTCTTATTCTCTAATTACCAAATCCGGTCCGGATTGTTAGGGAAAGAACCTAGTGTTGATATCATCAGTGAACTGTAATTTTCGATTTTCTTTCCTCAACGTTTAAGACATTGTGATTTAAATAATATCAACAAAATTTCTGTGAAAAACCGAAACCGGAACGAAACCGAAACCAAAACCGAAATAAATTTTGAAGAACGAAACCAAAACCGAAACCGAAACACCTGGCAAAACCGAAACCCAAACCGGAACGTTATTTTGAATCGGTTTCATTCCTTGCGAAGAAGTGCCAAATTGAGCGCAAAGGCATCATAAAAGAAGAAAAAAGCAAATTTGATCAAAATACATGTGCGAGTGTGGCAGCATTTTGCTACATCGCACGAAAACCGGACCTTTCCCTATTGGGATATGTTAGGCCTTTCAGAATGCAATAAAAAATAAATTTTTAAGTTTCAGTTGAAGGTTATTTGGTCTGGCAATACTAAATTAATCGCTTTCAATCAGATGGCCGGGCATGGTATTGGATCAAAAACCCAAATTAAGCCCATGCGCATCATGTAAAGCAAACTGTGAATCACAGTGGTCGGTCAATAATAGTTTGAGGTTGTATTTCAAAAATTTTGTTGGTCCGTTAAAACGAAATATGTGTAAGGAACACTATGTGTTCATATTTCAACAAACTTTGCAAGATGTACTCGAAAAAATGAGTTTCCGCTGAAAAATCACCCAAAACACATTGCACATGTTGGCAAAGACTGGATACAAAAGCAAAAATTTGCTAATTTGAAATGACGTCCACAATCTGCGGCCATGAATCTTAACGAGAATTTGCGAAATCAACTAAAAGCACAGCTTACTAAGTATCCAAGTCCGTCCAATGGAGTATATGGGCTGTGAAAGCAAACTAAGGATATATGGGTGGATATACCTCCAGAATTTTTACAGAGATACAAATAAGGTATGCCAAATCGCACCCAGGAACTAAAAAAGCAAAAGGTTACTGAAAATTGTGTAAATAATTCTTTTTTTTTCGTGAAAATTGTCAAAAAGTTATTAGAAGTATATAAGTGCAAAACTGTAACATGTGCCTTAATTTACATTTTTGTCTGCTGCTTTTATCATTGTTGTTGGATTTACTTCATATCCTTATGAGAGAGGAAGTACAGGTGTACCAATAAGAATATACAACAAAAGTATGAATATCGTTAGAACTTGGAAAGATAGCGGCGACTGAAATAAAAAGTGTTACACCATGTTACAGTTTTGCTCGTCGTTGTATGTACATATTTTGAAGCCGTTTTTTCTGTTCGCAAATCTCGAGAAAGGCTCCACCGATTTTTTTGATTTTGGTGATGATTTTGGACACCTACTGCAGACTTTCCAAGAATGGTTATAGGCTGAAAAATATTTAGATATATAAAGGCGGCNATTTTTACAGAGATACAAATAAGGTATGCCAAATCGCACCCAGGAACTAAAAAAGCAAAAGGTTACTGAAAATTGTGTAAATAATTCTTTTTTTTTCGTGAAAATTGTCAAAAAGTTATTAGAAGTATATAAGTGCAATACTGTAACATGTGCCTTAATTTACATTTTTGTCTGCTGCTTTTATCATTGTTGTTGGATTTACTTCATATCCTTATGAGAGAGGAAGTACAGGTGTACCAATAAGAATATACAACAAAAGTATGAATATCGTTAGAACTTGGAAAGATAGCGGCGACTGAAATAAAAAGTGTTACACCATGTTACAGTTTTGTTTGTGAAGCACATCAAAATTACTATCTTCTGCATACACGATATTTTTCAAANTGCATATCTCTGGAAGTATTCATGGTAGAGTACTGCAACTTGGTATGGGGTTATATGGAGAAAAATTGGAGCTATTGGAAAATAGGGTGTGGCACCTCCCATACAAACAGAATTTTTCATACTACATATGTCTTCATGTTCATGAAGCTGGTACGGACATATATGAAATAAATCGCATACTCATGGAGAAAAATGGGGGTTACCTGTCATGTAAAATTTTCCACTGAATCTGAATACATAGTCAAAATATAATAAACTGCAACAGTTTTTGAGATATAGCTAAATTTCAGTTTTTAGAGATGTGAAAAAGTGCACTCACTTAATTGTGAAGCACATCAAAATTACTATCTTCTGCATACACGATATTTTTCAAGCGGATTAGTAGGTTAGGAGCTAAAAAAGTTACTTTCGGTAAAAATATCAACATGCAAGAACTTGTTAACTTTTGGATTCTTGCACGTCAAAGCATGATTCTTTATTAATACAATAAGGCCGTGCTCATCTAAATTGAATAATAAACATAGAAGTTATGAGCACGTAAGTAGTGATACATACAAAAAGTTTCTATACAAATTTATGGTTTGCATATTATGGAGTACACACCTTTTATAACAATTTTGATCGCTATATCTCAGAAATGGTAAGCCTTAGGAAGAAAAATGTTATAACAGTTTTAGTAGATAATTGTATGATCTACACCTATTTTTATGATAAACCTTACCGTATTGCTGGAAAATGTAAAAAAAAATCAATTTATTTGACCTTTGACCTTGAATAACTTTCTTTTGCAGACGTGGGATCGATGGTGACCTTTGAAATTTCATTCAT